TACAAAATATATTATTTAAACATAATAAAAAAAATTTTTTTTTTTATATAAATAGAAAAACATTTGAATAAAATTATATTAAAACATAACTATTGTAGGCTAATAAAAAAAAAAAAAAAAAAAAAAAAAAAAAATATACATATAGATTAAAATGTATTAACATATATATGTATATTTATAAATATAGTTTTTTTTTCGTATTTTTTTATAATATATTTTATATATATTATTATAGATTTCTTTTTTTTGTATTAATTTATTTTTATATTCTATCATTTACATATTTTAATCTAATAGCCAACAATATATCTTGAAAAATATTTAAAATTTGATTCCTTACAAAATTAGGAAAAATATATTTATACACAAATAATTTAAATATAAAATGAATTCATATAATTTTTTTTTCATCTTGTTTAGAATATAATAAATATATAATTTATAGACTATAAGTATTTGAACTTTGCACAAATTTAGAAATTATTTATAAGTATATACATGTTTTACATAAATTCTTAATAAAGATTAATGTGGAAGTATTTTACTAATATTGTGTTTGCATTTCCTTTATAAAATATTTCTTCGTGTTTTATTAATTTATTTATTTATTTTGCTTCTATAAAAAATCAACAATATTAAACTTATGAATCCAAATTATAATTTAAGATTTTTAAAAAATGATAAATGTGATAACTTTTTACTTTTATTTATTTTTATATGTGGATTTATTCTTGGTTTATTACTTAAGTTTTTAAATTCTTTTAAAATAAAAGCTGTTAAAGATGTTTTTGCAAACATAAATTTAAATTGTGACTGTAAAATGGTTTTTTGTGTTAGAACTGGTAACATTTTTATTCATATATACATTGTAAATAATTTTATTATTATTATTTTAGTTTAATCATTTTTTTTTTTTTTTTTTTTTTATTTTATATTCTTTTTCCTATTATATTTTATTAGATATAAAAATGAATAAAGGGAAAATATGTTCCCAGTGTTGTCATGCTTGTTTATCAGTTTACGAAAAAATTATCAAAAGAAATAATCAGCTTCAAAAAAAAAATCTATCAAAAAACTGTTCCAGTTATTTCGAAATATGGAAAAAAACGGGACAAAAAAAAATAGTTCTTAAAATATCAGTAAGACATTAAATAATATTTTTCCCTTAATTTTTTAAATAAATAAAATTTTTTATTTTTTTAAAGAGTTTAGAAGAAATGTATGAAATAGAAAAAAAGGCTCAAATGGAAAATCTATTAACTTCCATAATTATTGATGCGGTATTTATAAAAAGAATTATTTATATTTTTTTAAAAAAATTTTATTAATTTTAATTTTGTTTTATTTATATTTTTTTTTTTTATTATTAAAGGGAAGAACCCAAATAGATCCAAATACACCAACAGTTATTGCTATTGAACCAGGTATTTTGCGAAATATTAAAATAAACAATATTATTTTTATATTTTCTTAAATATGTAATGTATATATAATTCATAGAGAACTTATTTTTATTTTATATTATGAACATTTTTTTCCTTTTATATAATGAACAACATCAATGTATTTTTTTTTTTTTTTTTTTTTCTTAGTCCCTGATGAAATAGTAAATAAAATAACAGGACAATTAAAGCTTTTATAGATATTTTAAATAAAACATATTAAAATATTAAGTTATTTTTTAATTTAATTTTTTTTTCTTTTTTTCTTTTCCTTTTTTTTTTTTTTTTTTTTTGTATACATGTCTATATTTTTTTTTATCCATTTTTATTTTATGTTTTTATTTTTTTAATATAAATCTAACAATAAAAAAGTTTTTGTTAATACTTAAAAAATTTTTCAATAAACTGAAAGAAATTGATAAATTTTTTTTATGATATATTTTTTTTATTTAAAATTTTTCTTATATTTACATTTAAATATCATTTTTATAATAATAATAAATAGGAACTTTTTGTGGGTCAGAAATAATATTATTAATATCAATATTTCTTTCTTTCATATGTATGTTGTTATTTATTTTATCTTGTACTTCAGAATTTATTTTCTTTACTTTTTGATCATTATTTATTCCACTGTTCATATCTGATGAAATATATTTTTTTGCTATTAATATATAAACACTTCCTGCATTTTTTACAAGTTTAAAAATAATACTGAAATCATTTTTTTTTAAAATTTCTAAAGGATATCTATTTTCATAATATCCATATTCCCATGGCATTTTATAATTTGGGTATAAATTTAATTTTTCTAGTATGTATCTGATAAACTTATTATATATAATACCCCTTTCAACTAAATAAAATTTTCCATTATTTTTCAACGCTTGATAAATATTTTTTAAACTTTCATCAAGATATTCTAAAGAACATAAAGTAAAAGAGGAGATAACGGAATCAAAAACTTCTGGTTTAAAAATATTGTTTTTTATATCATTATTTATAATGTATACAGGATATGGTGGCTTTATTTTTTCAACTTTTTTTTTTAATTCTTTACACATATTCTCACTTTTTTCGACACATATTAATATATCTATTTTATTTAAATATGCAAAATTTCTACCTGAACCTGCTCCTATTTCTAATACTACTCCCCTTGCTTTTCGAAAATTTTTTTTTTTGTATTTATTTATTGATGTAATTTTTTCTATAAAGTCATTTTTTTCATCGTAATTTTTTGCTAATGCATCAAATATTTTAATCCGAAAGTTTTCAGTTGGCTCATCTAACATAACATTTAGAGGTCTATTTTTTTTATAGATGTAAAAACAACCCAAAATTACGCTTCCATTTGCAACTGTTACTCCTAGCAATAACTAAAAGAATATATTAAAAAATCATATATATTATAAATATTTTATAATAAAATTAGTAAAATAAAATAAATTAAAATGATAGAAACTTATATTTTATGAATTACATATTCTAATAAAATCTAAACTCTCTAAAAAAAAATATATATTTGTGCATAATTTTTTTTAACCTTTTTAAAAGAAGAAAAGGTAAACATAATTTTTTTTTTTTTCCTCTTCTGTATTATTCATAAATAAATACATAAAAAAATAAAAAATTAAAAAATTATTTCAAACAATTTATTTTTTCCCATAAAAAAAATAAAACATTAATAAATATTAAAAAATTTAATATAAATATTTATATATTATGATATTTTATATTAATTATTGCATGTTATTGTTTTATTCTTTATTTTAATTAAAGGAATATTTAGTTTTGCCCATTAAGTAAAAACAATTTTCAAACTTTAATTTTGTAATCATTGTTACCTAATTCAATTATATTTTTAATATGAAAAAAAAAAAAAAAAAAAAAATGTAAAATATGAAGAATAATGAAGTATTTAAAGAAGAGAAAGTTACATAATTTAAAGAAAATTAGTATACGAATGAAGCATGGTCATTTTTTTTACTTCATTAGAGAGCTTTTAAGATTGAAAAAACTAAAAAAATTATATGTTAAGCAATGTAAAAAAGAAAGGGAATTAATTCAAAAAGTCAAGAAAAAAAAATTAAAAAAAAAAAAAAAATTGTACATTAACGATAATATAAAAAGAGATGCAGCCAAGAATAAAAAAAAGAGAAAAATCAATAAAAGACTTAATGATAAAGCTATTAAAAATAATAAAAAAGAAAATAAAAAAAAAGATAAGACAGAACGCAGTAATTTAAAGAATAATGATAAAATAAATAAGGTAAATAAAATCATAATAAAAAAAGAAAAGAAAAAAAGGGATAAAAATTTGATTCAAAATAAATTAGATAGTATAAATCATCATAAAAAAGGAAAAGAAAGAAAAAAAATAGTTAAAAATAAACAAAAAATTAAAGATGGAAATAAAAAAGATAAAACGGAAATATCAGAATTTAAAGAAAATATTGAAATAAATCATATGGAAAAAATTAAAAATGATTGTAAAGGTAATAATTCAGCTGAGATATCCTCTGATTTATCAAACAAAATATTTAGAATACAGAATTCGACAAAAATATTTGATATTAATTTAATGAGAAATTATACAAATGAGAATAATTTAATTAAAAAACCAAATAATGAACATAATGTAATAGAATTACATCATAATAAATATAATGTAAAAGAATTACATGACAACATTAAACTAATAGAGAAATTTGATTCTAAAAATAAATCAATAAATAACAATATTTCTAAAGAGATGCTTGAGTACTTTGTTTCTAAATGTATTGATTTAAAAAATTTTATTGTTACATACAATTCAAGCTTTAAAAATATTTTTAATAATTTATTTAACGAATATATGTTTCTAAAAAAGTATATTAACAGCAATCATAACGTTTATCATAAGTTAATATTTTTTTTTAGCTGTAAACATTATTTAAAAAAGTTGAATTATCTTTTATCTATATTTTATGATGTTATAGAAGAGAATGACGAGGATTTAATGCTTGAATTTTATAAAGAGATAAAAAACAATAGAAGATTACTATACTATATTGGAAGAATATTATCAAATTATTTAACATGCATAGCATATAAAAAAGTAGTATATATAATTATCATTTGCTTTGCACGAGTTCATACAGTTCTAAATTGTATTCTTATATCAGAACCTTTTAAAAGTATTATACCTGAATTATTGAATATAATTAATCATATTAAAATATGAAATAAAAAAAAATAAAAAATGACATAACTATTATTTTATTATTTTATTTTATTTTTTTTTTTTTTTTTTGGTATTTGTCTAAAATATTTTTTGAAGTATTACTTATATATTTGTAAATTTTTTATTACTTTTTATTTATTATTTCATTTTATTATTATATTTGTTAATCATATGTTTAATAGATAAAAAAAATAGATTATATAATTAATGTTTTTTTAATTTTATTACTACTTTTTATATTATTCATACTTTCTCTTTTTAAATAAGAGTATGTAAAATCCGTTGTATAATTTTTATATAATACTTAATAATTTTTAAGAATTCTTTACGTTAAAAAAAATAATTGAAAGAAAACAAAGATAAAACATAAGAAATTTTAATAGAATATAAAAAAAAAAAATAATCATAAGCAAGATTAACTTGTGTAACATTTAATAAATTTAAGGAAAAAAACACGTGTAGAGTGAAGTATTTAATTTTTTTTTTCCTTTAATAAATTTCTTTTTTCATTCACATAAAAGGAAAAAAAAGTAATAAAATAAATAATAAATTTGAATGACTAATAAATATCTAAAGATAAATTTCAATTTACATATTGTTTCTCTTTCTTGTTTTCAATTTAGATTTAATATATGTTCTTTATGAATATTATATCATTAATTAATAAATATTTTATAAACTAATTTGAATACCTATATAATTACAAAAAAATATATTTTAAATGAAATAAATTATATATATATATATATACATATAAATCACTAATGGAATTTTATTTACATATGTTTTGAATTTAAGTGGACTTGAAAAAATGTGTTTTTATTTTCTTCACTCAAGCTAGTACATTTTGATGTTAATTGAAAAAGCAATTGGAAACAGCTTAATGTAATAGTTTTTGGAGAATAATATGTAAAAACGTAAATTTGGAATATACTTTATATGAGTTCAAATCATAACACAAATATATTACTAATTATGATATATATAAAAATGATATTGTGAATATGTATTTTTCATTCATACTGTATATAGAATAAAGAGAAACAAAAATAATATAAAATTCAATAATATATTTTACATTGCCTATGATAATCTAATTGCTTAAACGTTTAAATAAAAAATTTTAAATAAGAAAAAATATGCATTTGTTGGTTCTATGCTTTATAAGTGGAAATATGTTTTCTTAATTATATAAATAAAAATGGAAAATATAGTTAAAAGAACTATCATTCAATGATTTTTACTATGAAAATATTTTTGAAAAAATTATGATTAAATTATATATAGTTGAAAAAGCTGTATATTCTGTTCATAAATTTTTAATCTTATTGACTATGTAGGAAAATTTTATATAAACAAAAAGATATAAAAGAGATTAATAATAAATACATTTGTGACACTATTTTTTTATTTTAATGTAGAATCATTAGGTAATAAAAAAGTATAAATAACAAATTTTGTGAAATTTAAATATATAATGTTATGATATGAAAGTGTTGCTTTTTAATATAAAATTTTTCTAAAATCCTTTTTGAAAGAAAAATTTAATTAAAATGAAATATCATAATTTACTTAAATTGATAATAGCTAGGAAGTTATTTATGTTAATATATATGTATACATACATAAATTAATAAATACTTAGCTTTTTTTTTTTTTTTTATTTTAATGTAAATATATATATATAAACAAAAATGTATCTTGAATTATTTATTTACTTTTATTTATTGTTTTTCATTATTCTATATCATAAAATACTGATTTAAGTACAAAATATATATATAGAGAGAGGAAAATTTATATTATTTCGTGTGCATTAAAAATTTTATATATTGAAATACTTAAGATTATTCACACATTTTTTTGTTTATTTTTAACAAGTGCTACTGTTTTTTAACATTTTCTGAACGTTCAGAAAATTCTCTATTTTTAGCAATATAAAAGGAATATAATTGCTTTTTTTTTTTTTTTATTTTTTTTCAGTGCATTATTTTTATTAAATAATAATTTGCATTTATTTTTATTTATTTTTTTCATATATTAGTGTATTTTTTTATTTGTCACAGTTTCTGGAAAATATAAAAGGTGCATTGACATTTTTAGTATCTACATTTTTCAACCATGAGTGATGAGTAAAAATATCCTTAAAATTAAAAATAAAAAAAAAGATTGAATTAATAAGCACATGAATAAAAAGATTAAAATCCTGAATACATTAATTTTATATTAAATTGTTTTACAAATTCTCTATATATACCTAATTCTTACTTTTCAGTGAAAGTTCTCCATTTTTGATAGAAAACTTAAAAAGTAATATGACATTTTTTAAAACATTTAATCAAATAATTTATTAATATATTTTTTATGTTTTTTTGATTTAGATATAATAGAAGCTAAAAATAAAAAAGTATACAAATTTAAAAATTAAATTAAAATTAAAAATCTGACATATTCATATATATTAATTTTAGGTATCTAATAAACAAAAACAGTATGTTGAAAGTGTATCTAATTTATGCTTTTATTCAACACAATCTCTAAAATATTCGGAAACAAGGAAAAGAAATGCTTCTTTATGGGATTATAATAATGATAAAATAAATGTAAAATCTAGTTTCCTAAATCACTCAGGAAGTATTATAAAAAGAAAAAAAGAAAAGTTTTACAAAAATAGCGGCACGTACGAGCTAGGAAGAACACATACAAATGATGATTGTGATAATAAATGGAAAAAAAACAATTTTAATAAAATATATTTTGAAAAAGATAATATGAAAATATTTAAAACTTACAATATAGATAATTCAATTAGGGAAAAATATAAAAAAAATGAGTTCAGTTATTCAGACAATATTTTAAGTAAAGCAAATTTCGAGCAAAATTATGAGAAAAGCATTTGTAAAGTTTTGAATAAATATTCCAAAAAATTCAAAACTAAATCTTTTGATATAAAAATAAATTCTAATATTTTTGAAAAATATGATAATAAAGTAAGATAAATAAAAAATTTTCATATTGAGCATTATTATTTATGTAAACACATTAAAATATGCACAAATAAAGCTGTTGTTTTTTATTTCTATTTCTATATATTTTTTATTTCTTGTAAAATAATTTTATATTTTTTAATATTTTATTTTCATACAAGTATTTATTTTTGCTGATTAGTTTTATGTTAAATTATAAATTTTATTTTTAGCTATATTTTAATATTATTTTTATTATTACCACCTAATAATAAAAGACAATATTGAAATTTTTATATTTTATGCTTGTATTAATATTTTTAAGAGGCTAAGAGTTACACAAATGATTCTTTAAAAAATAATTTAAATGATAATAAAGTTAATGTATTTTTATATATAATATTAAGTAAATGAATATGAAAACATAAATGAAATTTACCTATTTTTAATAGGATTTTAAACTAAAGGAAAACGTTAACAACACAAAAAGTATCCCTGGGAAACAAGTTTTAAGTAACTATACAAAAAATATAAAATATCTTTAAATGAGTATATCTTGATTTAATTAAATGTCTTTATACAGATTTTACGAGAAAAACATTCAATGTTTATCGTCCTTATATTCCATTAAAAGAAGAAAATATGTATGTAATAAAAAATAAAAATTATAATATAAATGAAATTAATACGAAACAAAAATCTGCATATTATTTAAATGAAACAAAAGACATTTCAAGTTATTCAAATATTACCAAATTTAAATCAGAAAATCTTAGTAGTAAAAATAAAGAGAACAATTATATTTTGTTACCTTTTAAACTTCCTCCAAATAAAAAAAAAGAAAATTTCATTCATCAAAATAAAAAATTAAAAAATGATGTAAATTATGAAATTCGTATGGATAAAAACAAAAAAGAGAATTTTCTGATAAATAAAAAGAAAGAAATTCAAAATAAAAAATTCACATATTTAAAAAAACAATTCAATATTGATCAAAATAGTCAACTAATATTATCCAAATCACAATGTAATATTATGAAAATAAATAACAAAATCAAGGAAAAAGGAGTTGATATAAAAAATTTAAAATATAGCTTATATTTAAGTAAAGATAATATAAATGACAGAAAAGCAAGTAACAGTAAACTAATTAAAAGTAAAAATGAAAAAATTATATATTTTTTTAATTATAATAAAGATACTTTAAAATATAAAATAAAGAAAGATTTAAAAGAGTATACTTCAAATTTAAACAATGAGGATCAATTTAATAAGTCTATATTAAATTCTACTGGTAAACATACTTTTTCAGGTATTAATATAGAGTTAAATAAGATAAATGAGGGAATAAAGGAATATGCTAATGAAGATGATAATAAGAAAACAAAAACAAAAAAAACAGATTTAAAAAAAAAAAATGAAAGTATTTTAGGTTGTAATTCTAATAAAAGTTTAAAAGGTATTCTTTATAGTGATAATGAAAAAGTTTACACAGATAATGATGTTACAAATAAATTTTGTGATACGATAAAAAAAAATAACTATAAAGAAAAAGTAGACAAATTTCTTGAAGAACATTCAAAAAATAATATATATACGTATAAGGGACATAATGATGAAATATTAAAAAAAAATAAAAATGAATACGAAAATATATATAAAAAAAAGACGAATTATGAAAATGCAAATAAAATTTCGCAAATAAAGTATGTTAATAATTGTTTACCGCATAATAATATACATAATGAAACAGAAAAATCTGGTACTAATATATCAAAAGTAAAATTAGAAGTTGACTACTCAGAAAAAAGAAAATTCAATTCACACATAGAAAACTTAAGAAAAGAAAAATTAGAAATCGAAAAAAATAAAAAAGAAGAATCAAAATCATGTGATTTAAATAAAAAAAATTTAAAAAGAAAATTAAAATTACAAAAAAAAAAATCAAATACAGAAGAATTAGAAGTAACAAAAATTGATGAAAAAAATGAGTCAATAGGACTATCAGATTTGCCAGAGAAACATATATCTTTAGAAAATTTTGAGAAGAACAAATTGAAGAGAGATACATTAGAAAAAAAACTTCAAAAAAAAAGAAAATTAAAAATAAAAAATTCAGAAACAGATGTACTAAGAAATAGTATATCAAAAGAAAAGTTTGAAAAGGATAATGCAAAGATAGAAAAACGTGTAAATAAATCAGAGATTAACCCATCAAATGAAAATTTTGAAAAAGATAAATATAAAAAAAAAAAAAAAGAAAAAAAATCAAAAAAAGAGGAATTCGAAAGGAATGAATATGAATCAGGTGAAAGTTCTGTAGAAAATAAGCCAAGAATTGAAAAGTTAACGAAAATTAAACCAGAGGAAAAATATTTTAAAAATGAAAATAAAATAATAGAACTAAAAAAAAGTGCAAAAAAAATAAAGATATCAGAGATAAAAAAGGATGAAAAAGAAATATCTGAAACAAGTGAATCATGGGGAAATAAATCAGGAAATATTAAATTAAAAGAAAAATTAGAAAAGAAGAAGCTAGTAACAAAAAAACTAGAGAAAAACAAATCAAAATTAGAAAAATTAAAAAAAAGTTTATTAGAATTAGAAAATTTAAAAAAGAGTTTATCAAAATTAAAAAATTTGAAAAAAAGTTTATCAGAATTAGAAAAATTTAAAATAAGAAGGTATAAAGAAAAAACCTTAGAAACAAAAAAGTCAAAAGAAAAAAATAGACCTAAAATAGATGAAATAATGAGATATAACACTGAAGAATCACAAAAAGATGAATCAGGAAATAATAATTCAAAAGAAAAATTAGAAGAGAAAAAATCAAAAATAGAAAAATTAAAAATTATCAAATGTGAAACAGAAATATCTGAAACAGGAAAATCAGAAACAAGTAAATCGGATAATAACAATTCAAAAGAAAGTTTGGGAAGAGAAATGTTAATAATAAAAAATTTAGAGAATGATATGTTAAAGATAGAAAAATTAAAAATGAAAATATATAATAAAGAAAATTTAAAAAGAATTAAATCATTTAGAAGAAAGTTAAATGAAAAAAAATTTGAAGAAAATAAATTGAAAATGGACAAATATTTGGAAGAAACATTTGAAATAGAAAAATTAAGAAAAAATATATTAAAATTGGAAAAATTAGAAGAGAGTATATTAAAATTAGAAAAAGAAGACATAGAATCAAAATTTGAAAAATTAAAAATGAAAAAGTGTCAAAAATTAGGATCTAAAGTGGACGAATCAGTTGAAGAGAAACTAGAAAAAAAATTAGAAGAGATCAAATTAAAATTAAGAAAATTAAAAATGAAAGAGCATGAGGATGAGGCAGAAATCAATGAGAAAAAAAGTTCACAAAAAAATGAATTAAGAAAAAAAAAATCAGAAAAATTGGAAGTAAAGAAATATATTACGGAAACGTCTGAAACTGAAAGATCAATAACAGAAACAGGTGTAACGGATAAATCAGAAACGGACATATTAAAAAATAATAAATTAAAATTAAGAAAATTAAAAAAATGCAAAATAATATTAGGGAAATTAAAAAAAAAGAAATATAAGGGAGATATATCTGAAATAAATGAATCAGAGAAGAAACAATTAAAGGATGAAAAAACTAAAAAAAATACACCATTGATGGATAAATTAGAAAAGAACAGATTAAAATTAAAAAAATTGGAAAATTACAGAATAAAAGCAAAAAAATCAAAAAAAAGCAAACAGGAGTCTTCAAAATTAAAAGTGAAGAAATATATGGAAGAACAATATGAAAAGGAAGAATTAGAAAATATATTTTTAGAGAAAAAAATGAAAGATAATAAACCAATAATAAATCAATTAAATCCAGAAAAATTAGAAATACAAATTTCTGAAATAAAATATTCTGAATCAGAAATGTCTAAAACAAAAGAAATAGAAAAAGTGGAAAATAATAGATCAAAATTAGAAACATTTTGCCTTGAAACAGAGATGCCAGAGAATTATCAATCTGAAAAAGAAATAGAAAATATATATAAATTAAAGAAAAAAAAAATAAAATTAGATAAATCAAAAAAGAAGATACATAAAAGTAAGTTAGAAACTATTAAATCCAAAAAAGAGGAACTAAATTTTGATAGATCAAGGAAAAATAATTCAGATATAAAATTATCAATAAGGAAATCAAAAGAAAATCTAGAAACAGATAGATCTAAAAAAAAAATGTATATAGAATATAAATTAAAAGATAATGAATTCGAATTAGAAAAATTAGGTAATGATGAAATGAAAGAAGAGAAATCAGAGGATGAAAAATTAGGAGAAAACATATATATAGAAAGTTATGAAAGAGAAATGTATAAGGAAGAAAAATCTCATAGGAATAAATCAATATTTGATAAATTAAAAATAGAAAAAAATGGTAAAAAAAAATCAGAAGAAAGCATATTGAAAAAAAATAAAACTCATATAGGTAACATTTCTGAAACAGAGAAACTTAAAGAAAAATTAAAATCTACGAATAAAAAAATTAAGGAAAGAAAATCAACACCTGAAAAGTTAAAAGCAATAAAAATTAAAAAAAAGAAAGAGAAATCAAAAAGAAAGTCAATAGAAAAAGTGATAGAAAATGAAAATTCAAAGAATAACAATGCAAAAAATGAGCAAATTAATATATTAAAGGATACTTTTAATAATATTGGTGTACATGAATATAAATGTTCCAACTTAAGTAATTTGAAAGAAGTTTCAGAAAAAAGTAGCAAAGAAGATACTATTAGCAAAAACTTAAAAACAATTAATTATGATGAACAAAATATACATGACAGCACAAAAATTAACAATTTTCAAATAAAAGATTACAATGAAAACAAAAGAGAAATAAAAAAAAAAATTATAAAAATTTTTAAATCTTCTTTGGAAGATTTTTATTTTAATAAAAATACATATTCTCCAGGAACGTTAACTTTAAATAACATACACAAAGAAAATGGGGGCAACTTTCATAGAAACCTAGATAATAACGAAAGCAATCATAATTTTTATAACATGAATGCATGTAAAGAAGATAACTATAAAAAGAAAAAGACATATACAAATAGTATAAGTAGAAGTAAAATTTCTCTTGGAAATGATGATTTTGAAAATATAAGAAAAGAAAACATTGAAGTGAATAATATGGGAAATATGGACTATTATAAAAATAGATATATAGATGTAAGTAGATATATAAATGAGAATGATTTTAAATCTAAGGATAGATATAAAAGTGAAAATTTCAAATTAGGTAAATTATATGATATTTATAATAGCAACAAAGGGAATTACTTAAATTATTATAATGAAATTAATAAATATAATTCAAATAAAGAATATTATTATAATGAAAATGAAGGAGATTACGAAAATATATATAAAAAGGACAGTCTAATTGGCACGGAAAACATAAAAAAACAGGATATACGTTACAATAATGAAATATATTTACATAAATATGAAAATTTAACAAAAAGCAATGAAAAAATACACTTAGATATATTATATAAATCTCAACCTAGTGAAATAAAGCTACCTAATAATTTATCTTTATTTATAAAGAAAAAAATTGATGTAGAATTAAAAAAAAATATGTATAAAAAAATATATCAAATAGTAAATAAAAACAACTATGATAATAAAGAAGAAATAAAAAGACTTTTACGTTTATTTTTTAAATATATGAAATTAAATAAATTCATAAGTAAATCTGATTTTCTACTTAAGAATGATACAGAAAAAGTTAAAAAAACCATACAAAAAAAAAGAAAAAAAAGAAAGAAAATAAAAGAAAATAATGAAAATAGACAAGAAGATGTAAACAATAATAGTAATAATACAAAAAAAAGAAAAATGAAAATAATTAATGTTGATAACGCTACTAATAATTTACCTCTAACTATGCTAATAATAAGAAATTTTGAAGAAAAAAAAAATTTTGACAAAAACATTAAGATAAGATATAAGGTGGAATTGGTTAGTTTAAAAAAACCATTTAAAATAAAAGAAATAATTGAAAAAGAAAAATACCTTTTTTCAAGAGTAGAAAAAATATATGATTTTTCTAATTTAGATAAAAATAAAACCAATGATAATTACAACCTTATAAATAAATATATTCCATTTCCAAACATGAAAAACTATTTATCTGAATATCAGCACAAATTTACAATTTGTAAATCTAAAAGTGGAAAAAAAATTAACTTTTTTAATATGAATAATATTTTCAAAACGAATGAAAAAAAAAAAAAATATAATGTCAAATTTGATGGAATGAAAGAAAATATAAAGAGAGATAATGATAATTATTCTTTTGAAACAAAATCAAAGTTAAATATGTTCACATATGCATCATTTAAGGAAAAAGAAAGCAAAAATTTTTTAATAAAAAGAGTATCTATAAAAAAAAAAGAAAATGAAACTTTAAATAAAAATGACATATTAAAATATAGTCATAAGAAAATGTTACTTTTAAAAAGCTTTTCTAGTCAAAATAAGAATAAAACTGCAAATTCTAATATATTATCTCCAAAAAAAAAAAATTATGTATTCAAAAGTTTTGCTATGAACAATATAAATACTTCTTTTAATAGAAATGAGTATATAATAAATTTCAATAAATATACTGAAAAGATAAAAGAGTGCATAACAACAGATAAGAATTCTGAAAAAATGAATCAGACATATAAGAATAGTTTAGGTCATGTAGACAGTTTTTTAAAAGTAATGGATAATATAAAAAATAAGAAATTTATTCTAGAAAGTCATAAATCAGGTATGGAAAAAATAGATATACAAAAAAGTAAAAATATTAATCTTTACGAAACTAATATAAGTAAATATAATAGTTTAAAAATTTCATTAAAAGACTTAAAAAAAATTGGTGTTAAAAAGAAAGAAGAAAGTAAAAATACAAGTCATTATAATATGAAAACTCAAGGTCTATCTTCAAATGAAAATTTATATAAAGTTGAACTTAGTAATAATAATTATAATGAATATATAAAAATTAAAGAAAATAAGAAAATTCAACAAGATAAGACTATATTGGAGAATAATGATCATACTATAAACAATAACGAACATAATAACATCTATAAAAATGAAAAAAAAAAGGGAAGTGATAAATATGATAAAAATGAAAACATATATAAATTTATTGATAAAAAAAGTAATTATGTAAAAAATAAGAATGAAAATGATTCTAAAATTTTTGATAAAAATGGTAGTCATAAAAAAAATAAAGATGAAAATTCTTACAAAAAAATTGATAAAAAAGATAGTTACAATAAATATGAAGACATTTATAAAAATATTGATGAAATAAGTAATTACAATAAATATGAAAATATTTATAAAAATATTAATAATAAAAATGGTTACGATAAATGTGAAAATATTTATAATAATATTAATAATAAAAGAAGTTATGATATATATGAAAATATTTATAATAATATTAATAATAAAAAAAATTATGATAAATATGAAAATATTTATAAAAATATTGATGAAGGAAGTGATGATAAATATGACAATATTTATAAAAATATAATTAATAAAAGTAATTATAAAAGAGAAAAATTTAAAATTATACATAATAAAAATAGTCATAAAGTCGATAAACATAATTTTGATAATTATGATAATATCAAAAAGGAAGATACATATATTTCTAATCAATCTATAGGAAATGAGAAAGAAAAATATACTAATAAAATAGAGGCAGATAAAGAAAAATTTAGTGTTGAAATTTTGAATGAAAAAAAAAAAATAGATAAAAATATAAATTTACAATTTAGACATAGTAAAGTAATCATAAAAAAGAACAGTTATAAGAATCACCATATAAATGAAAAATTTTCATACTCTCAGATAAGAAGATCTTCAGAAATTTTGAAAGAATCTATAAAAAAGAATAAAAAAGAAAACAATTACAATATTAGTAAAACAGAAAAATATATAGGTAAATTAAATAAAAATAATGCAGTTTCTGAAGTGAAAAACTTTGAAAATATAATGAAGATAGAGGGGGAAAAAAAAAAATACTATGATTTTGATAAAAATAGAAATAAAAACAAAAAATTTAATTTTGATTTTAAAATAAAAGGTAACACTGTGGAAACAAAGGAAAACGAAATAAATATTAATAAAAATAGTTTAAAATTAAATATGAGAAAACGCAAAGAAAATGAAACAAATGATTTTTCAAAAATAATTAAAAAGAAAAATTTCTCAAAATTAAATAGAACAAATAATTTATCAAAGATAATTAAAAAGAATAATTTCTCAAAATTAAATAGAACAAATAATTTATCAAAGATAATTAAAAAGAACAATATCTCAAAATTAAATAGAACAAATAATTTATCAAAGATAACTAAAATGAACAATATCTCAAAATTAAATAGAACAAATAATTTTTCCAAAATAATTAAAAAAGGCAATTCTTCAAAAACGATTAAAAAAAGTAATTTTTTAAAATTAAATAAGACAAATGTTTCTATAAAAAATATAAATAAAAAAGAAAAACTTGCAACTATACAAAATGTCGAAAGAAATATATCAATTTATGATGATAAAGATGGTACATTCAAAAAAAATACATCAAGAAAAGTTAAAAAATTAGTTAAATCAAGTAAGAAAGTATCACCGAATTTCAATTATCCATTTTCATTTGAATCAGAAATAGAAATAGATGAAAATTTCATAAAAAATAATAAAAAAGAAGGATTAAATTCAAGTTATATTGATTTAAAAAAACTGAATTTTTCTAAAAGTTCTCTTGAAAATTTTATTGAAAAAAATTTATTTGAAAAATCTAATTCTGAAATAAAATTTGGCTATACAAAAAAAAAAGACTTTCAAATTATTTCCAACACAGATAATTCACTTTCAATAAAAAAAAAAAAAAAAAGAAAAAAAAAATTATTTGAAAAAAATATAAATTCAAAAAAAACGTCAAGAAAAGATCAATCCTCTAATATAAGCTACGATAAGAATAAAAAACAACTTTATTTTTCATCAAAAAATCTTATAAAAAAAAAAGGTAGTACAACATATCAGAAAAAAAAAAAAAATTCCAAATTTTCTATTCCTAAAGAAAAAGGTCAATTAAAAATTTTTGATTTAAATAAGAACTTAAGACATTTTGGTGATTCTTTTATATATAAAAAGAAAAACTTTAATAAAAGTTTACATGATGAAAAACGTAATAGCTTTGATGAAAGTTTAAAAAAATTTTTTCATATTAAACGTAAAGTTAAATTGAGCAAAAACATAACAATCAATTTTTCAAATGATTTGGCAAATTTAGAAACGATGGAAAGTAAAAATGAAGAAAGTGAAGTAACCAGTAATAAAGAGGAACAAATGATATTTAAAGAAAAAAATAATAAATCAGACAATGCTCTAGTAATTAAGATAAATATAATAACAATATTTCTGCTTGATTTGCATATTAAAAAGGCGAATATGAATAGTAATTATTATATGAAAGTAACTATTTATTTTTCTAATGATATCAAAACAATTAAAAATAATTGTGTTACTGAAACGTTTCAAAGCTATTTTACATCTTACACTAACGGCGTTGGTTTATGCTCTGATGCTTTTAAAAAAGTAAATATAAATGCACATATTTTTAAATAATGAATATATGCACACTGTAAAAAGTATTAATTGTCTATATAATTTATTTTTTTATTTATATTATACTAACACTCTTAAATTAATTAAAAGAAATATGTCTAGAACTTACAATTTTATGTTTATTTTATATAGATTAATTGTGGAAGTTCATCAAAAAACTTATTTAAGATTGTTATATCTTGTCGTAAAGAAAAGGCTATTTTAAAAAAAGAACTAATAAAACTATATAGTAGAACTTTTGAAGCGGTAAAATATAATTAGGCTATTTTAATAAAAAGAAAAAAAAAAAAAAATTTACATATATACATAATTGTATGCTTTACATTTTTTTTTTTTCTAAAACAAATATTTTTTTTTATGTTTATATTTTATATATTGTATTTTTTTTATAGCCAGTAGATTTAAGAACTTATAGCTTATGTAGAGATAAAAAATACTCATACGAAACAAATAGTGTAAATGATGAACATTATGAAAATAATGGTAATTCATAACTTAAAATAATAAATAAAAAAAAATTATAAAATTTGTTATAGATTCGCAAGGAAATATTTTGTGATATTTATATAATTTTTTATTAGGTACTATTATATTTGGAACACTGTAATTGTATAAATTAAGCTTTTAATTAAAAACACATAATTTTTATTTTTTTTATTATAAAGCTCATTTTTTAAATCAATATTCATATATCATCACATTCTTTTTTTTTTTTTTTTTTTTTTTTCTTTTTTAAAAAAAATGAAAAAATTTTAATTTTTTCCCCTTATATACAATTGTTTTATAATTTTAATTTTCGTGTACAAATTTAATTATTTATTCTTTTCATTTTTTTTGTAAATAATTTAGATTTAATTTGTTATATATATATATATATATATATATATATATATATATATATATATATATATATATATATATATATATATATAAATCATATTAATTTAAAATAAGGAAAATTATTAGTATATTAAATAATTATTGTAATTATCATTTTTTTTATCTCCTTCTTAGTACAAAATTTTGTGATCTTTTAAATGATTTAAAATATTTTTACTCAAATGTATATTAACTATTTTTTTTTTTTTCCAGTATTTCTTTATAGAATTCATTTTATGAAACATTAATATATATTTTTTTTTTTTTTTTATTTTTACAATATGAGGTAACTCATGGAAATAAAAAAATAAATTGTATATATGTGTATTTATTATAGAACTAATAATTTCAACTTAATTTAAAAACAATGTAAGAAATAATTGTAATAAAAATGAATATTTTAAAGTTGATTAATAGAAAAAATTATTTTACTTATAATACAAAAAGATATCATTTAAATTATAAATTATATCTGAAATTCAAGCAATGGAACTATTTGAAAAAAGAAATGATTAATTATTTTAATTCTAACTATAAAGTAGACACAACAGTAGATTTAGAAGCTAAATGCTGGGAGAAATTTAAGAAAAAAGAATTAATTCAAGCACATGGTTATATTCCAGCAATAATATGGAAATATGGTTGTGAAGAAAGAATTTGCATAAAGCATAAATTAATTGATGAATATGCATTTGAAGAAGAAGATGGACATTTGTCTTTATGTAATTAAAATATTTAGAAATTTTTAAATATAATTATTCTTATAAAATCAACTTTAATTAATATTTTATTAAATTTTCTAAATATTATATTATTATTAAGATGGATATTTTGTAAAAAATTATATTTTATACGTGACATATATACTTAAATTAGTACATGATATTAATACAAATTAATTTTTTATTTATTATATTTTTTTTTACAAATTAGTGTTTTCGGCGAGATTGTTCAGAATTCACCTTAAAGGAAAAATTATTGAATGTGTTGTATCACATGTTGAAGCAGATCCTAGTAAGAATAATAAAAGAAAAAGAAAAATAAAAAGAAAGGAGTATTTATATTAAAAGAATGTATTTTTATTTTTTTTTTTTTTTTTGAATAGTTGAAAAGCATATATATTTTTTAAAGTTTGCGAGAGTTGTAGAAAATAAAATAACAGAATTAAATATCCCATGTAGTTTAGTGGGGCTCATTGGATGTCCAGCTTATATTAATGGCTATCATGTTCAATTAGCCTTAAATTATATTAAATGCAAAATAATAGGAAATAATATACCTCCTCCTTTTCAAATTGATGTTTCAAAGTTAACATATAAAGAACCATATAACTCAATTAAATTAAAAGATTTAATGGTAAAAAAAAAAAAAAAAAAAAAAGTAAATAAATAAAAAATAATATAACTATTAAACTAATCAAATATATATGAATTAATAAACTAAAAAATATATGAATAAATAATATTTATAGTATTTATTGCCACAAGATGGAAATGTTGTTTTTTCTGAGGAATATAATTTAGATGAAACAGAAGTAGTATGGACATATGAACCTGGGAAGGTTAAAGAAAAAAAATACAAATATTAATAAATGGATGCAATGAATAATATTTATTTATAATATATACACCTTTTTTTTTTTTTTTTTTTTTTTTTTTTTTCCTAGATTCCTGAAACACCTTTACCAGATGATTACATTGATCCTAATTTTTTGAACAAGAAAGGTAAGAGAATTCAGTTAACATACAAAGACTATTGGCCAAAGCAATAATATTATTATTTTTTTTTTTTTTTTTTTTTTTTTCTTTTTCCTTTTTTGTAATTCATTTAAAAAAAATGATTATTGAATTACATTTAAGACATTTTCTATTTTTCAAAATGTTTCCTAAAAAAACAATTTATTTATTTTTTTTTTTTTTATTTTTTGAAATTGTATTATTATGTTTTGATATAATAAAATCTACCTATATTATTTTTACTTCCACATATAGTACATAAAATAAGGAATTTATTTACACTCTTTTCGGAATTTAATTTTGATACTTGTTTTTCTAAAGTTACGATTAAATCATGCAAAGTATTCATCTTTTATAAAAAAAAAAAAAAAGAGAAAAATAAAAAAAAAATTTTATAATTATAAAATTAGTAAAAAATAAAGAATAGTATCTATTATATAATTCCATACTTGTTCTTCATATTTTTTATGTATATTTGCTTCTTCTTCCTGTGATATAACAAAAAATTATAAAAGTATAATATTCATATTAAAATATATAGATATAATAATAATAATAATAATAATAAGAATAAGAATAATTTATTTACAATTATTCTATGAATTACATATATATGAAATAAATAAATTCATTTTATTACTTTATATGTTTCTATTTGAAGTTTTAATTTTTTTATTTCATTTTCTTTTATATCAAAATCATTTTTGAATTTCTCTAAAAACTATGGTAAAATATATGTATATAGTTTTATATCTAAAAATTAAATGTAAAATTTTATGGCATATATATACCTCATTATTTTTTTTTATTTCAATTTTTAAATGATTTATTTTTATGCAAGAACAAATATATGCTTCTAATAATTGTTTTTCTTTAATATTTAAATTTTTCTTTTCATATTTATTAATTGTTATATATTTTAAGATTTTTTCTGCGTATGTTTCAATATCATTAGTTAAATTTTCTTTATTATTCATTTCATGTTTATTTGATAAAGAATTAATTAAAAGTGTATTGTTTACTGTTAACTCTTTATTAATCATTAATGTGTTTTTATATTCATTCAAAGACTAAAAAAAGGAAGAAAAAAAAAAAAAAAAAAAAAATATTAAATGAATATTTTTATAGATATATAATTTTTTTTTTTTTTTTATTTTTAACTTGTTCATTTATCCTTTTTAATTTCTTAATTATTTTAGTTTTTTTCAAAATATTTCTGCTTAATTCAATGTTATTTTTTTTGTAATATTCGAGATCTTTTAAACTATTTTCTAATGAATCATAAGAAATTATCTTTTTTTTATTAAATGCATTATTAATTTTTTCTAAATAATTCCTCTCTTCTTCATACAAAATAGAGTTGTTAAATCTATAGTAAGACAACAGTGAAACTAAAAGTAACTTTAAATTTCCGATATCAAAATTTTCTATAGAATTTATGAAAGAATTTGTTAAATCTAATAAACTAGTAATTGCTTTTAATTTATTCATATTTAATGTAGAAAAAAACCCTTTATTTTCACATATACGAAAAGATATATATGATTTTAAAAATCCAAACGAATATGATGTATCTTCTAAAATTATTTTAAATTTATTTATTAAAAATAAAATAATTTTATTATTTTTATCAACATAATCTTTTAGGTCTTTAAACTTAGAAAGAGAATTCTTTTCTTTTTCATAAACTAATTTCATAAAATTTGTATTATTTATTTTAAATGTGCAATTAATGTTTTCTTCTTCACTCAAATAACTTTTATTTATTTTATCATAATTTGCTTCATTAGAATATATATGTTTGTCTAGATTTTTTTTGTCTATCAATTTTTTAATATTTATTTTTTTAAAATATTCCAAAATTATATTTTTGTTATTATAAGGTGTAATGCATATCACAAAGGAAAATATATTTATTGTTTTCAAAATTAGATTTTTCAAAATTCTTAATTCGTGAATTACATTTTTCAGAATAAATTTTTTACTAGTGAGATTTGTTGGAAAGAAATAATCCTCAACACATAAATATATATTTACATTTATAAAAAATTTTTTTATTTTATCAACTAAAATAAATAATATATCCTGATAAAAAGTAAGTCAGTTAAAAATTATTTGTTGAATATATATACTACAGACATAATAAAAAAAAAAAAAAAAAAATTTATAAAAATTAAAGAATTACCTTAGTTCCTTCTCTATTTTTATTTTTAATCCATATATTTTTAAAATTTATAAATAAATTAATTATTTCTTCAAGATAAATAACTTCCTTTTAAAAATATTAACAAAATTTATAATATGTATATATATTCTTGTATCAATAATTTATTAAAAAAAATAAGAAAAATTAAAATTAAAAAGAAAACTTACATTTTGAGAAATTTTTTTTAAGTTTATTAATTTTGAATAATCTATTTTGTTTCTTTTTTCTTCTTTCTCTAAATTTTCATTTATATTATTTAACTTATCATCTTCAAATATAAAAAGTTCCTTACATAAAACTAAATATTCACTACATTTTTCCATTACATTTAAAATAAAATTTTGAAAATGTTTTATATTTTCATTTATTTTATTCTAAAAATAAAAGAATAAAATAAAAATACTAAATGAGTTACATATTTAATAAACTAACTATTTAAAAAAGAAAGAGATTTATATTACTTGAATATAGTAATCGTAATAATCACATTTTTCAAAAAACGGAATTTGATTAAAATTGATTTTATATTTAGAATAACATTTATATTTTAACTTTTTACTTATATCTTCTAATTCATGAATATATTTTTTTTTTTTTTCTATAGTTTCCTCATATTTTTTTTTATTTATGTCCATTTGTTTTTTTATTTCAGATTTCTCATTTTGAATATCAATAATATTTTGATTAAAATTGTTAATTTTATCAGTTAAAATTTTAATACTTTTTTCTCCTTCCTAATCATATTAGAAATTTTTTAAAAATATATATATATATATAAAAGAATCAACACATTAAGATATCAAAAAAAATATAATTATATTTTTTTTTAACTTTTAATTTTTCATCATAATTTTTCTTATTCATTTCAAGTTTAATTTCTAATTCTTGATGTTCATGTTTTAGATCATCAATTTTTTTATGAAGAGTTTCTAAAAAAATTGTAATAAAAATATATAGATATTTTTAAATTTTAATTACACTTTAGTTACAGAAATGAGAAAATACTTTAAAAAAAATTAAATACAAATTAAAAAAATATTATATATTATTTATAGCACTTAAAAACATGTAATAAATATATATATAGACAAACCATTTTCTTTTATTTTTATTTCGAGTTCTTCAAAGGCTACAGATTCATGGATATTTTCTTTAGAACTTTTTGTTAATAACATTAAATTTCTCCACCCAGAATTATTTTTTTTCTATAAGGTGAAAAAAAAATAAAAAAAAAAAAAATTGAAATAAAAGTAATAATAATGACATAAAGCTATTAAAATCCTTAACAATAAACGTTAAAATTAAAACAGTTTTTTTTTTTTTTCTCTTTACTTGTTCTTCTAACAAGTTCATTAATTGAGTTATTTTATTTGATTGTTGATCATTGTTATTTAATAAACAACTATTTTCATTTAATAATATATTTATTTTATTATTTTGTTCGTTATTATTTTTTTCCAATTGTGTAATATCTTTTTTATATTCCACTATTGCTTTTTTTAGAATATCTAAATAAAAACAAAATGATTATAAAATCTTAAGTGAAATGATAAATAGAATAATAATCCTTACCATTCTGTTCTTTTATTTCTTTGTATTTTTCTTTAATTAATTTATATTTATCTTCTAAATTCATTTTAAAAATTATATAAAAAAAAATTTTTTAAATATGAAAACAAATTATATACGAAAAAAATAGAATAATAATAAAGTTTAAAAATGTATAAAATTCAAAATATTGTTTAAAAAAAAAAAAAAAAAAAAAAAA